CATCTGGCCGATAACCGGATATCACATCTACACCAGAAGCGACGTAAGTCGACCAGGCCACACTAACCTTTTATATCCGTGCTGAAATTTCGTCAGTGATCAAACCGTTGGGGCTGATGCAACTTCCCAAATAAGTGGACTGATCAACAGTTTCCACCGACCACTTTACTCCCTATCTTTAGGCTAGGAGTCGGTCAATGTAGCATCATCTTACATTTGACAGGAACGAATCGCATGCCAAACATTCAACGATTGCCGCTCAAGGTGTTCAGAAGACTCTGCAGTTTACCAGTCTTCGCCTAGGAGGACAATATATATTACCCGCATACGCTAAGTCGACAAGACTGTTCCCTGGTAACAAGTCAATCTCCCCTGAAATAACCAATGATTTGAAATTTGGGATCATCCATGGTATCGAATATTTTGTAATTTAACTTGTGAGCATCCCAAACAAAAACAACTAGGCCCTCATACCAAGCCACTTAAGTATTATAAACTACTTAAAGTAATAGAATTACGTATGAATGATCGTTTCAAATTGGCAAATGATTTACTTTGATGCCTAAACAACATAAAACGAGTACCTCTCTCTAAATTCCCCCTACTTACTTTTACTTTACTTTGGCTATCTCCTACGGGAGGATGAGCCGGCTTCACGAACATCTCGAATCATCGCTGCCCAGGCGCGGCGATCTGATGCAAGGTTTCGCGACAGGGTTATCAGAGAGTTCATGAAGTTTCATGGGAATTTGGTACGAGTGATGTCCCCAGAATCGCTCGGCCTTTTGTTTGAGAGTGCAGCTCTAGCCTTTACACAACCAAGTGTGACCTACAAGGCAGTAGGAGTGGAGTAGGGAGTCCACTATCCATTGGCAGCCGGTGACCGGAGTTCGGTTCATACGCCTTTTTGAATGGGGCCAGACATCCAACAAGCCCTTTGTCCATACGTCTGCTGGTGAGCTCCAGTGAGCTTCATACGCCAGTCGTTGGAGGTTTGGAATCAGGGTTTAGCCATCTCCCCTACACTGTCATCCAATGGACCGTCAACCCGGTGAAGAGCGCCGGGCATCCGCTTTCGCCCTCTCACTTTGGTGAAAAACACCTCCGCCACGTGAAGGCAGTGAGTAGGACTTCCTCAGGAGAGGCTATGTAAGACGCCCGGTAATATGGGAACATTTCAAGAGCATGTAACAGATGACATTGAAAAAACTGATAGTTATCTTACCCGAAGCAAAAGCGCCACAAAGCAAACAGGAATGCATGTTCCAGGACCATTGCACAGAATCTACAAGAAAATGTTTATTTGAAACAAACAAAGTCTCATAAGGGAGGCGATATCAATGAAGCACCACAAATACTAGAACCAACTCAACGCACGGGATACAATATATATTAGCTAGTCACAATGTGAACAGATGAGAACAGCAAAGTAATTATACTACTGAGATACATTTCCTAGTTAATAAAACGGCAATCATTATAATAACTGAATATACATCTTTCCCGGCAATAAATTTCAAACAAGTAGAAGTTGAAGAAAAGGGCTAATTAATGAGTTCGTGAATTTTGGTACCACTCATCAGCTAAATACTTTACAAACACGATTATTCATAACAAATTAAAAGGTTAGCATATATATAAACGGAAAAACAATGACAACAAATATGTATTCTTTGTAATGAGTGTGCGGTCGAACGTTATCTTCCAATTGTATTACTGTCATTTCTAAGATTTTGGATGCTGCTTTCACCAAGTTTCTCACTACCACACCCAATTTTGTTGACTCAAGTGTCCTTGCACTTTTGTTTACCAGTTTTACGCATGATTCAAGTGTAAAACCCTGAATGAATGCACATCTGCATCAAGTCCGACCAAATCACTCTCGCATAAACCACCCAACTAAAGCACTATACAAGGAAACAAGTCAACTATAGTACCAGTTAGGTGACCTGCTCTACTTTCAGAGTTAAATATACTAAAGACAACGTGGAAGTGAACAGCTAGTATCCAAAATTCGTAAAAACAACAGGTACTGAAATACCTCCACTGCCTTTTTGATGGTATCAATATGCCAACTGGAAGAATTAACTAAAGATTACTGGGCAGAGCATTCAAAATGACAGATAAAGCCTTCAGAGTGGACAGTCATGTAACGCACCTAGGCATATATTTGTCGGGGTAAAATAAACAGGGGGATAAACACCAACAAAGTGCCTTTACATAACAGCTAGAACTATGGAAATAAATATCAATCTTTGCTGATTACTTGCGAACATCAATATAGTGGTGGATATTGGTTGCGTTAATCGGCAGTATTTCAATTCTGAAAGTATCAACAGGTACAATGGGAACCCAGTGAAACAGCAAAAATAGTCCGTTTTGAACAAGAATACTGATGAAGACCGATTTGTAGTGATGTAGATACATGCGTGCAGTGTCATATTTTAGCTGACTTTCTTCTCTCCTTTACTCTCCCTCTCTCTCCCTGAATCCACAGATGTGGTTGCAACTTTACTTTAACAGGGACACCACGCTATGCTGAGACAAAGCCATTTAGCACAAATGATACATAAATATAATGAGTAAAGTAAAATAATAAAGCGACTCACTAATTTCGGTCGACACTGGACAACAAGAGGCAACGAATGCAGGAAAGAAACTGATGCACTTAAGATACTGCTCATAAATGACTGTCTTACTTCGCGAGCTCTGTGTATGCGTTTGATATCAAACTACGGTATCATATAAAAATAGAAACAACGGGCTAACCAGAATTCCACGACGGGTTTCACAATTTAAGACCTTCTCCTCACTCAAAGCGTCAGTTTTTGCTATTACGTATGTACGCGGCTGGTATTTTGTGGTGAGTGATGAGACATAAGAGAGCATTTCACTTGTATGTCCTCCAGACCCCATTATAATCATTACAGGAACGAAATGTGGGAAGTCCGATTTTGACTTGAAATAGAAGTAAATGTACGCTACCACCCAAAGTACTACTAATATTGTGAGAATCTATAATTTTAATTTAGAGAACAAACGACAATTACCATTTCTCATACCATGGACAGGTAAACTTGAAATTTTACAACGACCTACCAAATGACCTTAAACAACCAATCACAATAGCCACGATATGAAACTGTAATAGGCAACCAGCAAGCACACAGATGATGAAAGCAGAACGTGAACTGTGCAAGAGAGACTTTATTCACAAAATTGATATTTTTTAAAGTGTGGGGGTACAGTTTTAGGGTATAACGGTTTTACTGGGCTTCATTAATGTTTATGTTCTGCAATTCATGTATCTCCTGGTCCAGGCAATTGACTCCCGGGTGTCTTCCTGCAAGTGGAGAAAATAAAACATTGATTAGTATTATAATATAGGTTTATATTACACTGCCCCATTCCTCTGGGGGCACTGTCCTCAGTGCCCAAGGGTGGAATTGGGTAGCCTGCACCTCCAACGGCTGGGACTTCATATTGACAGCTGGCGGGTGGTGGTTCATTGTGGAGAGGCTGATTATTGGAGCGAAAATGTGATGTGGCTTGAGTTGATTGTAGTGGGCAGGAATAATATCACCATTCAGTTGCTGAATACTTTTCAAGAAGTAAGTTGTAGGTGGACACTTACGCACAATCTCAAAGGGTCCGTGCAATGAGGAGTAGAATTTTGCATTTGGTCCAGAGGGACGGTGAAGCCAAACATGATCACCGACAGCGTAAGTCGGGCCACGAGCGAAACGGTCATACACATTCTTCTGATGGAAACTTGACGACTTCTGTTGAGTGCGCACCAGATAGTAAGCAATTGCCGAACGGTTGGGTAGTTGCCGGACATAGGCGATATGGTAAATCTTCTCAAAGGGGAAGGAACTTGGACTTCGATAGGAAGGCGCAATTCTTGACCGTACACAAGTAACGCAGGAGAGAAACCTGTGGAGAATAACGATAAGCCAGGAGACATAAACTTAGTGTCTCATCAGTTGATAAGCGATCGAGAAAAGCACGTAGGATATTCTTGAGTGTTCGCTTAGTACATTCCACCAGCCCGTTTCCTTCTGGGTGCTAAGCAGTCGTGCGTGTCTTACGAACGCTAAATACGTTGCAGATATGATGAACCAGTTGGCTTTCAAAAACAGCACCTTGATCTGAATGCAGTGAATGTAGGGCACCAAAACGAGTAATCCAGTTGTCAATGAACGCCTGGGCTACGCTATTTGCATCTTGGCGTTGTAAAGGTACCGCTTCACACCATTTTGTAAAGTATTCAATCATCACCAGGATACATCGGTGGAAGTGGTCCCATTATGTCGATCACGACGCACTGATTCGGCGCTTCCGTTAGCATAGGTACGAGGGGTGCTCTAGGCGTTTGCGTAGGCTGTTTGTTATGGCTACAGAAGTCGCAATGTTTACAAAACTCGGTCACATCTCGGTGAAGTAACGGCCACCAGAAGCGTTGATGGATGGCGTTTTCAGTTTTCTGTTGACCAGCATGCCCAAGTTGGTGCTGTACGTGGCTAATAAGCTCCTGTGCTTTGGCGTTTGGAACGAGGAGTCGTGGGTTGGATTTTGGTTCCACTATGTAGAGGACGTCATCTATTAGACGAAGGAGACCCCATTTACCGCAGATGCTCCTTGTAGCTGTTGGCAGGTCCCGTAATTCTTTGGATGTCGGCTTATTGTTGCCGTGCTGCTGCTGCCGCTTGCAGAGAGGCCAAGTCAATATCACCTATAGCACCAAGTGGTTTCACAGTGTGGCAGGCGTGAGAGGACATCGGCATTGCCATGTCGTTTCCGGACCGGTATTCACAAGTGAGATCAAGCTCCTGTAAGCGTTCCTGCCTGCGGGGAAGTTGGCTTTCGGCATCACGAAAGTTCTGCAGCCACTGTAACGCCTTGCGATCAGTCCGGATGCGAAATTTTCGCCCCAGCAAGTAATGGCAAAAGTAAGTGAAAAAGTATACAAGAGCTAACATCTCACGACGCGTCGTAGAATACCGCGTCTCTCTTTTGTCCAGCATTCGGCGAGGATATCTTATCACTCGTACTTGTCCGTCAGAGGTTGTCTGTGAAAGGACGGCTCCTATTCCGTGAGCACTGGCGTGAGTATCCAGGATAAACGCACCGCTATCAGCCGATGTGTTTGGAAGTGCTAAAACAGGGGGAGAAGTTAGACATGTTTTAAGAGTATCAAAGGTTACCCGGCACTCGTTTGTCCACACGAATTTCCGTCCTTTTTGGTCAATCGATGGAGTGGGGCTGCTATACTGGCGAAATTTTGAACGAAACGCCGGTAGTAAGAAGCAACCCCATGAAACTGCGTACGTCAGCTGTCTATTTAGGGGTCGGCCAGTTGATAATTGCTTGGGTTTTGCTGCTGTCTGTGTGCACTCCTTGTGGAGTAATCTCATGTTCAAGGAAAATAACGGATTTCTGCAGGAATTTGCAGTTTGAGGCTTTCAGCTTAAGATTACTCCTGCGTAAACGTTGAAATACGGCTCGAAGGTTAGCATGGTGTCCTTCGAGAGACTGGTCGAACACGATGATATCGTCCAGGCAGATTGGGCACTATTTAGGGACTAGCCCTGCAAGTACTGTTTGCATTAGCCGTAGAAACGTAGCAGGGACGCTAGATAGGCCAAATGGCATAGTTTCGAATTCGTACGACCCCGTAAGCACAACAAACTCAGTTTTGGGCGGTGTTCCGGACGGATTTCAACTTGCCAATAGCCCGAAGCTAGATATAATTTGGAGAACCACTGTTCTCCACCCAAAGTGTCTAAGGTAGCGTCTATGCGAGGCAAGGGAAAAGAATCCCGTTGTGTGATGGCATTTAAACGACGGCAGTCGACACAAAGACAGAGAGAGACATCTTCCTTTTTCACAAGAACGATTGGAGATGCCCACGGCGAGGTAGACGGGTTAATTAGCTTCTTTCGTAACATGTCTGTTATCATGGTGTTCAACTGCTGTTGGTAGTGAATGGGTACCCGTCGCGGTGGCGTTCTAATGGGCAAGTTATCGCCTGTCTTGATCTCGTGTTGTACAATATTAGTCCGCCCCATCACTTGCCCATCTTCAAACACATCACTGCACTCATGTAGCAGAGCCAGAGTGTCGGTACGTTCTTTAAGACTGAGGTGGGGGTTATCATGGATGTTCACCATTGTCATCTAGGGTAAAGCACACGCATTAGCACACTGATTGTGGCTGACTGGTCGACCCAATGCGAGGCTATGTGTCCCCAGCCGGATTCGAAGGCGTCTTAGGTCAATGACAGCGTTTTGGCCAGTTAAGAAGTCCACGCCCAGTAAGGCGTCCGTTGTATAACACCAAAAATGACGAACGACTGATCGCAAGTGAAACCTTGGAACGTCACGGAAAGGGTAGCGGAGTCTGTTACCTTGATAGGGATTCCATTGGTAGTAATTAGCTGTAGCTGACTGGGAAGAGGTTTAGGTTTCGCCCCGAGTCTCTGACCCAATTCCGTGCGGACAACTGAGGACGATGCCCCGGTGTCAACCAGAAAAGTTACGTTTACTCCCTGAAGTTTACCCTCAAGGATAAGGGGAGATTTCGAGCATTTTCCAAATAAAGAAATATTAGAAGAAAGCTCACCTAGAGATTTTTATTGTGCCCGCACTTCCATGCTCTGCGCCCAAACCGATGATAGTAATAGCATTTGTTGGGGTCATTATTCCGTTTGGAAGGAATTGTGAATGGCATTGTAGGTTGGTTGGATGATGGAGCATTGGGGCAGCGTTGTTGTGGGGCTGGGATGGTTGTCCTTTGCTCAGTGGTCCCGAGAGCATAGCAGGGCGTACTGGTGGATGGCGAAAGCATGTGCTCTACGCTCTCGAATTGTCTGACAACCTCGAGAGCTTCTGAGATTGATTTAGCTGGTTGGCGGAGTAACTTGCATATGAGCTTGGCGATAGGAGACCTTGCGCAAATAGGGTGCGAATAATCTTATCTCGGCTCGCATTAGGCAGGTTAGGTGATGCGTAAGACGCAATCTGAAGAAGCAGATGGAAACAGTCGGTAGCCGTTCCACCTATCTCTTGATGTCGGCTTAAGAATGTGTGCATGTACGCGGAGGTGTGAGAGGTTTTTGCGAAACATTACTCTAAAATGTGACAGTTGTAGCTGAGCGGTTTGGATGCGGAAAATCCACCAGCGATTGCACGCCGTAACGTGGCGTCACTCACTGCTAGCATGATATGATTGTACTGAGCTTGTGGAGGCAGACATGCGAGAAGGGGCTTCATCCGAAATTTCCACAGCTCATAATCGATGTTGATGTCCAACGGTGGTACTCGCACAGGTAAGATGTTTTCTGCGGATGGGAGATGTGTGTTGGTTTTCTGGCTGGAGATTATTTCGGGAGGCTCGTATGTGTCCCATTTCATGTTTAGACTGGATTTGGACACCTCCAACACCAATTTGTAACAGGCAACCAGCAGAACATGAACTGTGCAAGAGAGACTTTATTCACAAAATTGATATTTTTTAAAGTGTGGGGGTACAGTTTTAGGGTATAACGGTTTTACTGGGCTTCATTAATGTTTATGTTCTGCAATTCATGTATCTCCTGGTCCAGGCAATTGACTCCCGGGTGTCTTCCTGCAAGTGGAGAAAATAAAACATTGATTAGTATTATAATATAGGTTATGTTTCGATTACAAAACACTAGTAAGGACTGAAATAGTCTGTCACGTCCAAGGTCATTGGTGGAGTGAGATGCTCAAAGGTCATTTTCGTCCAAGCTAGGCGGCCATATCGGATTGCAGTTCCGTAACCGTTCGTTTACATATTAGTTTTTACGTTTATCCTACAGTTATCGACAACTTATCTTGATGCGCATTGCTCACAAATGTTGTGATTCACCTCATTTTTGTCTCCGTTGCTGTTAAAATTAGTTATTTCGTTGATTTCGAAAGTTTTTACCACCAGTTTTTACCCCCATCTCCCCGCGAACTTTGAAAAGGGAGTGAATTTTACACTCTCTCGTTTAGTTTCGGCTTTTGTTGTGTTATACACTCCTTAAGTCTACAGATTAACTTTAAATCAGTTTATTCTGATCGAAGTTAGTTCTCGTTTTAGTTTTGAGTCTATTAAATTATAGGAAGTTGTGTTCTTATAACTTAATAGATATATATTTGGAATAAAGCAAATTATTATTATTTTTGTGCACTCACTTATTCT